TTTTTGTGGCCCAATGAATATTTTGTGTGTGTGTGTGTGTGTAGAAAGAAAAAGTAAATAGAGAGAGCTACAGGGGTGAGGGAATTATATTTTTAATATATTTATTAGGAACTGTGGAGGGAAGGGGGTTGGATGAGAGCATTAAATATTATATTTATGGGGTAGGAACTGTAGGTGGAGGGAAAAAGGCTAGGGTGATGGTATTATATATTGCAATATTATATATTTTTGGTTTAATGCAGGGGTAGGTAACCTTCGACACTCCCTTTGTTTTTGACTACATCTCCATTAAGGCTTGCAAAGCATCATGGGAGGTGTAGTCCACAACATCTGGAGTGGCAAAGGATGTCTACCCCTAGTTTAGAGCATAGGTGTATAACCTTTTGGCTTCCCCAGGCCAAAATAACTCCTTAAACTCTTAAAGGATCACTATAGTGTCAGGAAAACAAAGCGGTTTTCCTGACACTACAGTGCCCTGAGGGTGCCCACACCCTCAGGGTCCCCCCTCCCGTGGTGCTGAAGGGGTTAAAACCCCTTCAGTTACTTTCCTTAATCCAGCGCCAGGCTCCCTCGGCGCTGGTGACCTCTCCTCCCTGTCCGACGTCAGCTCCCCGTCCGACGTCACTGGAGCCGAATGCGCATACGCGGTAAGTGCCGCGCGCGCATTCAAAGTGTCCATAGGAAAGCATTTCTCAATGCTTTCCTATGGACGCTCTGCTCGATGGATGTCCAGAAGACAGCCACTAGAGGCTGGATTAACCCCAAATGTAAACGTAGCAGTTTCTCTGAAACTGCTATGTTTACATGTGAAGGGTTAAAACCTGAGGGACATTGCACCCAGACCACTTCATCAAGCTGAAGTGGTCTGGGTGACTATAGTGTCCCTTTAACGCTTTTACGGCGTTATATGCCATCCGCATTTTAATGGGCTGTTAAGCTGAATCCTGATTGTTGCGGAGCTGCAATTTTATAATCCCAGGATCTCTGCTGGTAGAATGCAATAACCAAGTACAAAGCTGGAAGCAGGCAATATTCCCAAATCCTCCCAAGAACCAGACGAAACACAGTCTGAGAGTCAACTGCCACTTTATTCAAAAAGACTGATATTTAAAGCAGGTCACTCAACTGTCACTTTATTAAAAATAACTGATATTTAAAGCAGGTCACTCAACAGGGGTTTCCAAAGATGGGCAGCAGGGGTTTTGGTTGAGGGGACTGGAGGGAGACTACCGTTTCCAGGTCCTCCTCCCAACAGCCCCTGCTGTAACATACAGTAATGAAAACTACGAGGACATAAACCGTTACCTTTCTACTTCAAAATATACAACTTAGTCAGTTTTAATAGCAATGCTAACGAATGGGGAGGATTCGAACAGACATACACAGTACAGCATAAATTAAACATAGCCGGAGACGCCACACTATACCGGCGCGCAGTACACAACAGAAAATAGGCACAACCATTCTATCTTAGGCAGTCCCAAGTGGCTAGGTTTGCCACAATGCTCCCCAAAACCAAGCCGGCATACACAGTCTGATCCCAACGGATCGGCTTGGGGATGTCCGGGGGAGTGCTCACAGATCATTTCTCAAGTTCTGTCTGTCTGGACAACCCATCGGCGTTACCATTCTGTTTTCCAGGGCGATAATGGATCGTGAAATCAAACGGCTGCAGCGCCAAACTCCAGCGCAACAGCCGGGCATTGTCTCCTGACACCCTGTGTAGCCACACCAACGGGTTGTGATCTGTGAGCAAGGAGAATGGTTGTCCATACAAATAAGGTTGTAACTTTTTGAGGGCCCACACCACGGCCAGGCATTCCTTCTCGATGGCGGCGTAGCCTACTTCCCTTGGTAGTAATTTTCTGCTTAAGTAAGCTACGGGATGTTCTCCGCCATCAGCTCCCACTTGGCTCAGTACTGCCCCCAATCCAAACATGGAAGCGTCTGTGTGAACAAGAAATCGTTTAGTTGGATCAGGGGCAGTTAACACAGGAGCCTTAGTTAATGCAGTTTTTAGTTCATGGAATGCCTGTTCACACTCTGGGGCCCAGTTGACCTGTCGTGGCAAGTTTTTCTTGGTCAAGTCCGTCAGGGGTTTGGCCAGGGCGCTGTAATTGGGCACAAATTTTCTGTAGTAACCAGCGGTACCAAGGAACGCCAATACTTGTGTCTTTGTCCTGGGGGTAGGCCACTTAGCTACTGCCTCTATCTTGGCCGGTTCGGGCCTCTGCTGTCCGCATCCTACCCTGTGACCCAGGTACTGCACCTCTGCCATCCCTATGTGACACTTGCTAGGTTTTAGTGTCAGCCCTGCCTCTCCAATACGGTCAATGACCACACTAATATGTTTCAAATGATCTGCCCAGGTCTGGCTATAAATGGCTATATCATCTAAGTACGCACAGGCGTACTCTTGGAACCCGTCCAGTAGCCGATCTACCATCCTCTGAAAGGTAGCCGGAGCGTTTTTCATCCCGAAAGGCATGACCCGAAATTGATACAGGCCAAACGGGGTGACAAACGCCGACTTGGGGATGGCCTCCTCGGCTAGTGGAATCTGCCAGTATCCCTTACACAGATCAATGGTAGTGAGATACTGGCCTCTTGCCATCCTATCTAGCAGCTCGTCTATACGGGGCATCGGGTAGGCGTCAGACACTGTTTTGTCATTGAGCCTCCGGTAGTCTACACAAAACCGCGTGGTGCCATCCTTCTTGGGTACTAGCACTACCGGTGATGCCCAGGGGCTATCTGAATGTTCGATAACCCCTAACTGCAACATTTCCTCAATTTCTTTCCTCATGTGCTCCCTTACTGCTTCAGGGATACGATACGGAGTCTGTCTCATAGGGAGCTGTCCTGGGGTCTCTACTCGGTGGGTAGCTAACAGAGTGTACCCTGGTAAATTGGAGAAGGTAGCACCTTTTGCCGCAATCAACTCCTGTACCTGGGCACGCTCCTGGAGACTTAGCCGCTCCCCCAGCTGCACACCTGTAGCGTTTTCTGCAGAATCTTCCTTTTCTAACATGTCTGGCAAGGGCAGATTCTCATAATCCTCAGTGGCTGGGGCACAGATGGCTGCTACCTCCTCTATTCTCTGGTGATAGGGTTTGAGCATGTTCACATGGAGCATGCGTCGTTTCCCTACCCCAGAGCACGGGCCGATCACATAAGTGGTGTCACATCTCTGTTCTACCACTTGGTATGGGCCCTGCCAGGTGGCCTGTAGCTTGTCTGTGCGGACAGGTTTCAAAATTAGAACTTTCTGTCCCACCTGAAAGCTACGGTCTCTGGCTCCCCTATCGTACCACCGGCGCTGTCGCCGCTGAGCCGCCCGGAGGTTCTCCCGTACGGTTTGGGTTAGAGCCTCCAAGCGGTCCCGGAACTCCAGCACGTATGGCACAATGGGGACTCCATCTGCACTGCTCCCCCCCTCCCAATGTTCTCTAATTAAGTCTAGGGGTCCCCTCACCCTTCTCCCAAACAATAACTCAAACGGAGAGAAGCCGGTAGATTCCTGTGGCACTTCTCGGTACGCAAAAAGCAGATGGGGTAAAAACCTCTCCCAGTCTTTATGGGACTCCCCAAATGTCCTGAGCATCTGCTTCAAGGTACCGTTAAAGCGCTCACACAACCCATTGGACTGCGGGTGATAGGCAGAATTTACAATTGGCTTAATGCCACATAACTTCCATAGCTGGTGGGTCACTTCGGCTGTAAATTGGGTCCCCCTATCCGAAATTATCTCTTGGGGAAATCCCATCCTGGAAAATATCTTCATCATAGCTTCGGCTACCGTTTCTGCTTGTATATTGGAAAGGGCTATAGCCTCCGGGTACCGGGTGGCATAATCTACAATGGTCAGAATATACCGCTTGCCGGAAGGGCTAGGCTTGGACAGTGGTCCTACTATATCCACTGCTACTCTGCTAAAGGGTTCTTCAATAATGGGAAGGGGGCACAATTTCGCTTTGTGGCGGTCACCCCTTTTTCCCACTCTCTGACAAATGTCACATGTCTGACAATACTGTCTCACATCTCTAGATATACCTGGCCAGAAAAATGCATGTGTCAATCTGTACCTCGTTCTTGTCATCCCTAAATGCCCAGACAGCGGAATATCGTGGGCAATTCTAAGCAGTTCCTGCCGGTATTTCTGGGGCACTATAAGCTGCTTATTAGTCACATGTACAGACCCCCCTACCACCCGCTCAGCAACACGATATAACAGATTTTTCTCCCATACATACTGTTCTCCCTCTAAACCTGTCTGACCAGCTGTCGCCTTATCCTTATAAATTTGCAACGTGGGATCGTTTTTAACCTCTGCCTCAAAGTCAGTCGGGGTATCCCAGGAAACACGGGTTACACGGGGTACATTGTCTCTTACCTGAGCCTTAGAGTGTGTGGAAGATGAAGCCGTGGTGCGAGCCTGCTGACGGGTGGTCACTGGATATGCCTCATGGCGAGGACTTTGGGGCACAAAAGCGGAAGTCATTTGCCCCAGGTCATTCCCCAAAACAACATCAGCTGGTAACTTGTGCATCAGCCCCACCTCCACCATACCTTCCCCCGCACCCCAATTCAGATGTACCTTGGCAGTTGGTAGCCGGTACATGGCACCCCCTGCTACCCGGACTGCTACCGATCCCCCGGTATGTGCTGATCCTGACACCAAATGCGGGGCAACCAAAGTTAAGGTAGCGCCGGAATCACGTAGCCCCTGTACCTCTTTCCCTTCCAGAGTCACGGTCTGGCAATGTGGTTGTCGGTTGTCAGTAGCATGGATGGACATTACATCGTGCAAAACGCCCAGGGGTTCATCAGCTGACTCAAGCGGGACTCCTGGCAAAGTTGGCTCTGCATGATAATAATGAGCAGCTGCCCGCGGGGCCATATTCTGCCGGAGCTGATTCCAGTTCTTGCGGCTCCGGTTTTGGGTGCACTCTCGGGCCATGTGCCCCCATTGCTTACAGGCATGGCACTGGATGTTGGACCTGCCATTATAACGGGAGTGGGGAGGTTGTCCCACAAGTGCTGGTCTGGATGGTGCTGTCGCTGGGGCAGGAGCAATAACTGGAAACGGTTGCGGGTTGGGTTTTGCATACCCTCGGTTATTATTTTTATGATGCCTCCTAGCATCATAATGTTGGTCGGCCAATCGTGCCGCTTCGGTTAGGGTGTGAGGATTTCAGTCATTCACCCATTCTTGAGCCTCTGGTGCCAGGCCATTACAAAACTGCTCCAGTAGCAACATCTGGCGTAACTCTTCCATGGTGGTAGCTCTGCTGGCTTGTATCCAGCCTTGTGAGGCTTGGTCAAGCTTGTGTGCCCACTCCGCATGTGAGTCTTTGTCCCCTTTTTTCAATTCTCGGAACTTGCGCCGGTATGCCTCTGGGGTAATGGCATACCTTTCTAATAGTGCCTGCTTTACCTTGTCATAATTCTTGCTGTCCTCTCTGGGTACAGCCCGGTAGGCGTCTGCTGCACGCCCAGACAGTTTGCCTGTCAACAAAGGTACCCACATAGCTTGCTCTACATCATGCAAGTCACACAATCTTTCAAAATCTTGCAAGAATCCATCTATTTCGTCTTTATCCTCGCAAAAAGTTTTAAATGCATGATGTGGTATTTTTGGCCTTCCCTGGCCCACAGTTGAAACAACAGCGGTTTCTGCTTGAGGTGAGAAGGCTTGATTCATTTGCGCCATCACGTACTCCTGTGCATCCGCCGAAATTATGGTCATAATTTCTGGAGATACTGGAGCGGGCCAAAATGCCAATCTTGTCCTCATTTCTCGTTCAAATGGGGTCTCCTCCATGTTTGCTGGGGGTGTAGCACTACGAGTTCGGTCTCCTTCCATTAGCTCGGCAATAAGTCTTGCTTTAGGCTTATTGCTGGCTATCTTACCCCTGACTTCCAACAGCTCCTTTAACGTTTGCCGTTTCAATATGGTGTAGTCCGTCCCCATTCACTTCTGCACCTGTATCAATTGCCTTCTGCTTTCCAGTATGTCAATTCCAATTGTATAAACAGCGTTTTTCCTGCTGTACGGTTGGATCCCGCCGCTGCCACCAATTGTTGCGGAGCTGCAATTTTATAATCCCAGGATCTCTGCTGGTAGAATGCAATAACCAAGTACAAAGCTGGAAGCAGGCAATATTCCCAAATCCTCCCAAGAACCAGACGAAACACAGTCTGAGAGTCAACTGACACTTTATTCAAAAAGACTGATATTTAAAGCAGGTCACTCAACAGGGGTTTCCAAAGATGGGCAGCAGGGGTTTTGGTTGAGGGGACTGGAGGGAGACTACCGTTTCCAGGTCCTCCTCCCAACAGCCCCTGCTGTAACATACAGTAATGAAAACTACGAGGACATAAACCGTTACCTTTCAACTTCAAAATATACAACTTAGTCAGTTTTAATAGCAATGCTAACGAATGGGGAGGATTCGAACAGACATACACAGTACAGCATAAATTAAACATAGCCGGAGACGCCACACTATACCGGCGCGCAGTACACAACAGAAAATAGGCACAACCATTCTATCTTAGGCAGTCCCAAGTGGCTAGGTTTGCCACACTGATGACTCCACAATACTTGCCTATCCTGCGATCTGCTTCAGAGGGACTGGCTGACTGCCCAGGCAACACCCTTTGGGAAATCAGGCCCACTCTGTAACTTTCCAAAACCCAACAAAGCCTGTACATAAGTTGTACTGTTGTGCTTGTGAGACATTGCTGAATACAAATGTGTGTGTTTTATTGCAGTGAAGGCTAACAGTCTAATGACATTCACAGTTAAAACGCCATGCAGAATAAAAAAAAATGAAAACATTTCTTAATTTCATAACTTTTGTTAGATTTTATTCATATTAAATTGTTTCATATATGAATACTTGATGTGAAATGAAAGCCCTATTTCTCCAGTACAGTTAATATGAAAGAGGTAAATTATGGTTGAACAAACTTATAGCACAAGTTGCCAGTTTTGTTTTGACTAGAACTTGTACAACTGGTTCAGTCCTTAAGGGGTTTATTTATATATTTCATTTGTTTAGTACAGTGCTTCCCAAACCAGTCGTAATGGCCCACCAACAGTCCAGGATTTATGTATTTCCCTATTTTATTCCAATGGAGATACTAACAAAACCTGGACTGTTGGTGGGTCTTGAGGACTGGTTTGGGAAACGCTGGTTTAGTAGATAACTCCCTTATTTGTTATCCTTATTTAAGGATGCCAAATTAGGGAGTTATCTGCTAAAGGCATCCACATGTATATACATAATCAGAGATATACATCAATCACATACACACACATTTAGTAATTATGAGGGCCACCCAACCTCCCTATGTGAGGGCTAGAGTGTATCCTCTCCCTGGTGGCCAGGGGTTGCTGCTGTGATGGGATCTTTGTGGTCTTCCTGCACATGTTTCTCGCACGGCTGCGGCTTACTGCAGAACGAGCACAGTAAGTAATGGGCTCCCTGCCTCCCTCGCTGCCCAGCAGCCCGGACAGCAACTGGGCTGCATTACAAGCGGCTTAGTGTTGGACATGCCTGGTTTCTAGTGATTATGTGAATATGAACAGTTACCAGGTTGGAGTCCCCATGGCTACCCTTTCTGTTATGCCTAGACAGCATCATTGAAGCCCTATTGTTGGCTCAGTGTAATAGGAACTGTACAAACCTGCTGGCAAAGGGTTAATAACCCTTTTGTCACTTATCTGATTCCAGTGCCAATGTCCCTCAGCACTGGGTCAGGCTCCTCCACTGCTAATGTCACTGTGATTCTGAAACCGCCACACATATTAGGGCATTTCCTAAGGAAAGCAGCTTTCCTACTGGGTTTTTAATGAAGCTGGATGTTCTCATGCACAGTGTGAGGATGAACAGCGTCAGTTAATGGATCTCTGTTATTCAGCCACTAGAGGAGGAGAACAGAAACTGCAGTAATTAACAATGCAGGGTTAATGGGACAGGTGCACTGCACCCAGACCACTTCAGTGAGATTAAGTGGCCTTGGTGCCTATAGTGTCCCTTTAACTGGACTTTGCCACGGCTGTGGCTGTTAGACTGTTTTTTTATTAACTAAACTTTGCCTTGCATGTGGATTTTAGACTGTGTTTTATTAGCTGGATTTTGACATGCCAGTGGCTGGCAGACTGTTATTAACTGTGACGGAACCAACCTCGCCACTGTGCACTGGAGAAGCCTGGTTGTCGCCTGCTCCCTTAAAGGACCACTATAGTGCCAGGAAAACATACTCGTTTTCCTGGCACTATAGTGCCGTGAGGGTGCCCCCACCCTCAGGGACCCCCTCCCGCCCGGCTCTGGAAAGGGGAAAGGGGTTAAAACTTACCTTTTTCCAGCGCTGGGCGGAGAGCTCTCCTCCTTCTCTCCTCCTCCGTTCCTCCTCCTGGACTGAATGTGCACGCGCGGCAAGATGCAAGATACAATGCTTTCCTATGGACGCTTGCGTGCTCTCACTGTGAAAATCACAGTGAGAAGCACGCAAGCGCCTCTAGTGGCTGTCAATGAGACAGCCACTAGAGGAATAGGGGGAAGGCTTAACCCATTCATAAACATAGCAGTTTCTCTGAAACTGCTATGTTTATTAAAAAATGGGTTAACCCTAGCTGGACCAGGCACCCAGACCACTTCATTAAGCTGAAGTGGTCTGGGTGCCTAGAGTGGTCCTTTAAGACTATGGTCCGGCAGTTAAAACCTTTTATTTTCCCTGCAGAAAGGCGTATTCGTGCCTTTCTGCCGGGGTGTTCGGTAGATTCAATCTACCGAACAAAGTACCGATCAAGGGACGGCCTGGGAACCGGAGTGTGCCGTCAAATGAACACGTGACGGCGGCCATCTTAAACTCCCGAACAGCAGTGTTTTGCCGTCGAGTGTCTGGAACTAAAATTGGACACTCTACTAGGCAAACACCGCTGAGACCTCCAGACTTCCGTGGATTTGTGCCGAAACTACTGAACGAGCCGGCGTTCGGTAGAAAGACTAATGCTAACATGGGGATTCTAACGAACACCAGGAAACCCACGGATGACAAGCCGTTCGGGACTTTTTATAGCACGAACAGAGACCGACCGCAGTGCCAAACCTCATAGAACTATTTTCGGCAATTTACCTGTGCGGTCGGTCAAAACTTTAAACCTCCATAGCTCCCGAACCCCTGGTCTGATCTGGGTGATTTTTGAGTATGTTGCTCACCCAGATCAGGGCTATCAGGGGATACCATTTTTAGAGGTGTATCCTAAGCATTTGGGGTACATCTAAAACTTGGGGGAAATTGTGCACAGTTTAATTATGTTAACATATAATGTGGTGGGAGGAGATGTGTGGGTTGTACCTTGTACTGCATTGGTTAATGTATTAATTGTGGTGGGTGCCTCCCTTGCAAGGGAGAATCCCATAAAAGCAGGGGCTGTGTGATTAAACTTCAGATTCTGCTTAACCCTCAAAACGAAGTGTCGTCTCGTTCTTGGGGGGAATTGGAGTGTATGCTGACTGCCAGGAGTGTAAGCTGTCCGTATGCTTTTCCTGTTCGGCTGTATTCGTGTATTTCCTGATCGGGAGTTGGTGAATTCATGTGTTTGCACTTCGGGAGATTGGTGCTTACAGTAGCTGTCGGTGCATCTTGAAAGGGGAATATCGCCTAAACGGTTTTTAACCTCTGGTGAGCGAAACGGTCCGTTACATTAACCTATTATATAAAAGTTAATTGTTTTGGTGCAGGAGGAGGCCCTCAGAGGCACTCTTACCTCAAGAGTTTAAATTGTTCTCAAATGGTTTAACCCATAAGTTGCCTCCAGGGCTGGTCTCTACTCATCCCCTGGCAGCATCTGCCATCTGAATTTTAAAATTCAGGAACCGCGGAATGCTGCCGGGGGAAGCGCCACTGATTGGCTGAGAGCGCTCAGCTTTCTGACAGAACTCGTAATCCCCTCCGGGGGCATCCTGATATCCAAACAACTTCATTTAGATGAAGTTGTGTTGGTGCCTGAAGTGTCCCCTTGAAAACATTTTACTTCACACATTTGTAAAGTACTGCATTGTGATGTATTTCTTCTAATTGTTGTACCAGTACCAGTGAGGTGATACATAAACATCCTGGACTCTGGAATATTGCTGAGGCTGAGATTTTAGACCTGCACAGAAGGCAGATCACAGGGTGAGACGTCATTCAGAGAAATATAGTGGAAAAAAACTGTTATATGTATTATTTTAAACACGTAGATCGTGTTTGCATAAGTGAAGAAAGGATGTTGAACAGCTCGGTGCCAATAC